TGATTCGGGGTGATGTTTTGAGAAAACAGAAAGTAAATTCAAGGAAATGCTGCAGCGTGAACTTGAATCGGCTTTAGGCGGCGGTGATCCAGGAGGAAAGGACATTCCTCATCTTTTCTTCATGTTTTAAAACCGTCTCACGAGAATTTATTTGGAAATTGCGCTGTTCAACTATATGCCAGCAAACTAAAGAATGTTTTGATATCGCAATTGATCCAGGCAGTGCAGGATTTATATGACAACAAAATACGTTGTTCTAAGACGTAGATTTTTTTTTTTTATTATAATAATTGAAAAAGTTACTCGCCAATGACTTCTAGGTTGCAGTGCTGCACATTACCGAGTGGGTTCCAACTGCAAAGGGCAGCGATCACTGTTTGGACCCAATGCAAGGTGACTGTAACAATCCTCCACCAAGACTCTCATCGTTTTTCTCTAGGTTGATGCACTTCGGAAAAGTTTGATGAAAATCTGTTTGTAGCCAATTCTGAGAGCTAATTCAGGGCAATCCAAAAACGAAGATGTGATTTAGGGGATAATGTTTTTAAATATTGGAAAGCGATGGATACGTTCATAGAGACAGTGATTCATTGGGCCCTTATTTCATGTCCAACGCAGTCTAACTGTGAGCAGGGAAGGAGTTTACTTTGCAAGATTAGTGCAGATAGAAGAGGGCGTTTGCGCCAGTGTGTGAGGGAACACAGCCAACTTCTGGCCAATCGAAGCGGCTCGCATCATACCCTTTAAATTCACAGAGAGAGGCAAAAGGACAGGAGAAACAGCTAGCAAAGTGCAACACGGTCTGCCAAATTCCCAAGCACGGCAAACAAGACTTGTGCTGGCACCAAAATGACACATCATAAAATAAATCATGGACCCTCCACAAATTGTTGTTTTATTCCAAACAACAAACCAATTGGTATCAAAACCTGATTTCTTTCTTGGAGGAGGTAATAATCCTTGCCTTGTGCTTTTCATTTTTTATGGGGATAATAAAACTGTGAAAATATACAGTGCTTAAAATCCGCCCGAATTCTCATGAGAATGGACTGGTGGGCCGCATGGTTAAAACCCAAAAGTTCCAAACTGAGTGCTCTTTGAGAGACCATCAGGTGTCACACAGGAAATTATACTGATGCGTCTTCAGTTGCCCTCATTTCCACCGCACGGCCAGTTTGGTTCCATTCGCGTGGCTTCAACGCTGACAAATCTCAAGTTCAGAGGATACTGAGGTCAGCTGCATCAAGAGGACACTTTGGAGTATAACGCCACCCTGTCCAAAGCTAAGGCACAGCAACAGGGTCACCATTTTTTTTTTTGGTCATTTCTACACAGATGCTTGTAACCCCGGCTGACCAGGAACTGGAGGTGGTGCCTTGTTTTCTTCAAATGGCGAATGTAGGCACTGTGCAGTGGAAAAACGGGCATCTGAGTTAAGACGCAGGCACCGGGAATTCAATGCATCAAGTAAAGGAAACCCAAAAACCGAATAAAAATGTTCAATTTGATACCGGGGGGCGTTGGTGTCATTTTTGACCACTTTGTGGTTCAATTTTCCTTCCTTTTCATCATGACATCACACATCCCTCCAGGTGGCAAACACTCAAGCAATCTTCAGTGCCACCATCAGTCAACAAACCAAATCTGCCAAAAGGCAGTCTGGCGATCTTTTGCATTTATCCCCCACAGCCACAGTTCCACTGGATTCATTTTTAATTATTTTTTTACGGAAACAGAAAAAAAACCCCCGAAAAACAAACAAACAAAAAATCTTTGGGGATAGAGGTATATAAGATAGCCCAAGGCCAAATCCAAGTTTTTGTTGTCCTTTTCATTTCAAGTCAGCAGTGGTCAATTTCCTTTTCGGCTCCTTGAAAGGAGCCGTTTCTCTCTTGTTTGCAAACATTATGAAAAGATAGATTGGTATTTTTATCCTCTATTATGTGCTGAAAAACCTTTTCTCTCTGTAAAAATTTAACATGTTACAAGATGGCAAATCAGCTCAACCTGATAAGGAATTGGACTCAATGAAATATGTCGACGTGATACATCTCAAGTCTCTCAATATATCGGTGAGGAGTTTAGCCTGGGTTGTTAGTGAAAGTTCCAATGTCTCTGCCTCCCCCCCCGTTCTGGATTAAATACACATCGACACTTTGATAAACAGGCAGTAGCACCAGCAGCTCAGCACAAAGGCAAGATGGAGAGAAATTGAACCTTTGAAGGCATGCACATGGTGACCATGATACTGATTAAAACAGAGAGGTAAGGCAATTCTGGATGATCACTGATACTTTGTCCTCTCACATTCTCTCCAGCAGGCCCTGATGCTGACCGCGTGGGTGCTAGAAATACAACAAAAAGATCATCCCGGGAACTTTGCAGCGTTTTGGACGCGCAGGCCTTAAGCCGGCGTTTGCTTCACAGCACTTTTAATAGAGTGACAACGGAGAGGAAACAAGCAGGAAGCCGAGGAGGAGGGGAAGCAAAACAAAAAGACAGTCACATTTGATATGAAGCTCATTCACAAGTCATCTTGGCTCCTGAGTCGGGGTGATGTTGTGAGAAAACAGAAAGTAAATTCAAGGAAATGCTGCAGCGTGAACTTGAATCGGCTTTAGGCGGCGGTGATCCAGGAGGAAAGGACATTCCTCATCTTTTCTTCATGTTTTAAAACCGTCTCACGAGAATTTATTTGGAAATTGCGCTGTTCAACTATATGCCAGCAAACTAAAGAATGTTTTGATATCGCAATTGATCCAGGCAGTGCAGGATTTATATGACAACAAAATACGTTGTTCTAAGACGTAGATTTTTTTTTTTTATTATAATAATTGAAAAAGTTACTCGCCAATGACTTCTAGGTTGCAGTGCTGCACATTACCGAGTGGGTTCCAACTGCAAAGGGCAGCGATCACTGTTTGGACCCAATGCAAGGTGACTGTAACAATCCTCCACCAAGACTCTCATCGTTTTTCTCTAGGTTGATGCACTTCGGAAAAGTTTGATGAAAATCTGTAGCCAATTCTGAGAGCTAATTCAGGGCAATCCAAAAACGAAGATGTGATTTAGGGGATAATGTTTTTAAATATTGGAAAGCGATGGATACGTTCATAGAGACAGTGATTCATTGGGCCCTTATTTCATGTCCAACGCAGTCTAACTGTGAGCAGGGAAGGAGTTTACTTTGCAAGATTAGTGCAGATAGAAGAGGGCGTTTGCGCCAGTGTGTGAGGGAACACAGCGAACTTCTGGCCAATCGAAGCGGCTCGCATCATACCCTTTAAATTCACAGAGAGAGGCAAAAGGACAGGAGAAACAGCTAGCAAAGTGCAACACGGTCTGCCAAATTCCCAAGCACGGCAAACAAGACTTGTGCTGGCACCAAAATGACACATCATAAAATAAATCATGAACCCTCCACAAATTGTTGTTTTATTCCAAACAACAAACCAATTGGTATCAAAACCTGATTTCTTTCTTGGAGGAGGTAATAATCCTTGCCTTGTGCTTTTCATTTTTTATGGGGATAATAAAACTGTGAAAATATACAGTGCTTAAAATCCGCCCGAATTCTCATGAGAATGGACTGGTGGGCCGCATGGTTAAAACCCAAAAGTTCCAAACTGAGTGCTCTTTGAGAGACCATCAGGTGTCACACAGGAAATTATACTGATGCGTCTTCAGTTGCCCTCATTTCCACCGCACGGCCAGTTTGGTTCCATTCGCGTGGCTTCAACGCTGACAAATCTCAAGTTCAGAGGATACTGAGGTCAGCTGCATCAAGAGGACACTTTGGAGTATAACGCCACCCTGTCCAAAGCTAAGGCACAGCAACAGGGTCACCATTTTTTTTTTTTGGTCATTTCTACACAGATGCTTGTAACCCCGGCTGACCAGGAACTGGAGGTGGTGCCTTGTTTTCTTCAAATGGCGAATGTAGGCACTGTGCAGTGGAAAAACGGGCATCTGAGTTAAGACGCAGGCACCGGGAATTCAATGCATCAAGTAAAGGAAACCCAAAAACCGAATAAAAATGTTCAATTTGATACCGGGGGGCGTTGGTGTCATTTTTGACCACTTTGTGGTTCAATTTTCCTTCCTTTTCATCATGACATCACACATCCCTCCAGGTGGCAAACACTCAAGCAATCTTCAGTGCCACCATCAGTCAACAAACCAAATCTGCCAAAAGGCAGTCTGGCGATCTTTTGCATTTATCCCCCACAGCCACAGTTCCACTGGATTCATTTTTAATTATTTTTTTACGGAAACAGAAAAAAAACCCCCGAAAAACAAACAAACAAAAAATCTTTGGGGATAGAGGTATATAAGATAGCCCAAGGCCAAATCCAAGTTTTTGTTGTCCTTTTCATTTCAAGTCAGCAGTGGTCAATTTCCTTTTCGGCTCCTTGAAAGGAGCCGTTTCTCTCTTGTTTGCAAACATTATGAAAAGATAGATTGGTATTTTTATCCTCTATTATGTGCTGAAAAACCTTTTCTCTCTGTAAAAATTTAACATGTTACAAGATGGCAAATCAGCTCAACCTGATAAGGAATTGGACTCAATGAAATATGTCGACGTGATACATCTCAAGTCTCTCAATATATCGGTGAGGAGTTTAGCCTGGGTTGTTAGTGAAAGTTCCAATGTCTCTGCCTGTGCTCGTATGCGCGCAATTCAAAACGGTAAGACTTGAAACAACATTTTGTGGGCGTGTTAATTTAACATTTTTTGGTGGTATGGCTCAGATTACCAGGTATATTGTCCTTTGTTTGATATGAAGCGCACACCACTACGATACAACACTGAGCCAGTAGCAAAATGCCTGTTGAGCAGGTACAGTAAATGTTTAAATACTCGACGACAAAAAGAGTAATGGGATGTTGGGTTCATCGCCCTTAATACGCAATCGATACAAACAATAGCAACAACTACACAAATCAACGTTGTCAGTGAGCACACAATCTTGAACGAAACAGAATTAAAGGGTTTGGTTCGTGCTTACCCTTGCACCCCCAAGTGGACTATTCTAGGGTGCAGCATGAAAACAAGCAGTTGAGGGTTAGTGATGAAAAGAAAATGAGCGAGAAACCTTTGGCATCAGAAAATGTAGACGCCGAGACTGCGTGGGGAACAAAATAACACCGCGTTGCTGAAATCATCTTCAAACTGTCGCGGAGGACATCCTGCGGCCTCCTCATCTCACATGAGACCGCTTGTTGAGAGCGTTTTCGCTGCCTCAATTTATGCTAAGAGTCTTTCGAGCCATGTGGGTTTGGACGTTTATAAGGCGTCAGGAGCTTGGCGAAGGCGTGCCGAGCCACAGCAGCAGAAGCAGCTGGAGCGCGAGCGTAGTCCCAAGGCTCGGGCTCAGGCCGGTCCCGCCGCCGCAATCAGAGTCGTCTTCCTGCAGGGGGAAATCCTTTGTCAGTTTAAAAACACAAACAGTACAACAACAAATTCTGCACTAATGAGAAAAATGCAAATACCAAACTCCTTAAAGGAGTCATTTAATGGAATCTAAAACATTGAAAAAATATTAACGGTGTAATTTAATGAATAGCACTAGACAGTACTATAACTTATTAAAACTTACAGTAATATTTAAAATGAAACAATGTAAAGAAAATGTGCATCATGGCATTGTGCCACTAGGGGCAATATAACACATACAGTGTGAATATACACGAAGAAGACAATCGTAACTGCAGTAATGGACTTCTTGTACATACACGGAAAGTTGTGACATATTTCCGGTAAAATCTCACAAGTTCCTTAAAGAAAGGAGCGGTCTCTGTTCTTTTTGAGTGGATTAGGACTACACATCAAAAGTGAGCTGCGCTAACGTCCCCCCGGACGTTTTAGTGCCTTATGACATTGAGCGCGGAAGTGCTTTATGCTTACTCAACTCAACTCAACTGTGTGTTTTATATGTGTTGCTACACCATTTGTGTTCAAATATCCTTGGCTTGAAGTGTTATTAACGCCGCAATATTGATGCTAGTTTTGTTAACCCTGCCAAACTGCTGCTTGTGAAGGTTACAGTGAAGCTCTAAGAATTGATGAGTCAAAACATGCTCATTGTAGGTTTGAAAATTTGCAACTCATTTGGAAAGAGCAAATTTGGGGATTTTACAGATTCATATGTAGCGTGGTGGTCATAACTACAGTGGAGGTTGCGAGCAGCGAGAAATGAACAAGTTTCGACAGCAGCGTGAAACTATGCTGCTAAGCGGCACTCAAATGCCCGTTGATGACCTTACTATTTTTTGATAAAAATATTTACTATAATAATGACGTAAGTACCGCATTAACATGGGTTAGTGATAGACCATGACATGTTCCAAAATATGAAACATTCATTCTCGTTTTTAAACAGAGACCCCTTGTAAAAAGGTTTTTTTTTACCCTTTCAGGGGTAGCCTTTACAACAGTTCACAGCTTATCACGTAATCAGGTTACAGGTTATCATGATTTGTGCATGAAAGGGTGAACGTTCAATGGCTTTAATTAACTGCCATCAATTATGACAGCCCGAGAATGTTTACCATAGTGAAGTTATTTTTGTGACCTGTTTGTTTATTGTTACGCTCATTCCAGCACTAACGAGGTTGAAGTTCACCACGACCAGATGTTCTAACTAAAACCAAGTGCATTCATGCATGCGGCCTAGGGTTTTGCTTCAGAAGCAGGTCGGGAAATATGAAGCCTAAGATGACCTCTTACAATTTTACAATGTATTGTGCCCTGTTCGCAATCTATAATTAGTGTGAGGTCTTTTTATCCGTACAAACAACCAAACAAAAAAAAACACACAATGAAATAATGCGTCTCAGTGGGTAGCTTTTGGTTAGCCACAGAGTTCAGAGAGGCTAAACAGTTCATGTCCATGAACAATTGGGTCAGCCGAGTGACGTAATATACCTGCCTGCAACTGTAACTGTGTGAATATATGTTGGGTGTACTCAGGAAGCTTAGGCATGCCAGCAACAAGCCTTGAAAAGGTCTCGGAGTGTCCTGGATTCAAAAGGCAGGAAAGCCGAGCGGGGGCTTCCTCTGTTTACTTCAGTGACACAATCTGTCTCTCAATGAGGACTGCAGCTAAAAGTAAGTAAGGCAGAGATGGAAAGATGAGAAAGACCAACTTCCTATTTCCTCTTTTGGCATCCCAGGACACACTCACAGACATCAAGTGTCCTGATCTAAGAAGCTTTTAAAAAACAATGAAAGGCAGGGCGAACAGATATGAAGCCATTTTTCAGACCAAATATTTAGACAGCTTATAAACGCTGCAAAGTCGGCTGGTCAGGAGCAATATTTTATGCACATTCCTCCTTTGATTTTGCCAATTTATGCTGATTTATACAACACATGAACCGCATCACCCTTTTTTCCCCCTTTGGTGGAATCCATGTAATGAATTGAATAGTAATGGGTGTGAACAAAGCAGCTGAAATATTGCTTCCTGAAATGACATCTTATGCAAAGCACTTTAATAGGAGAGAATCTCCAAGTGTTATGAGTGGGAAATGTTGAAATATTTTATCAAAAAAATACAGCATGTTCAATTATTTTACATGTATTTAATTCATGAATTAACAATTTACATTTTATCATCATTCTTTTATATAATAATAATAATAATAATAATAACAATAATAATAATAGTAACTTTCCGTTTTTTTTAAATTAGATGATTCCTGCAATAATAACCCTATTATTTATATAAACACATCCCAGTACATGAAAAAGGATTCTTAGAAAATAATACTATTATTATTATTATTATTATTATTATTATTATTATTATCATCATACTATTTAGCATTTCATTCATATACAATAGAAGCCAATATTTGTGTCAAGTCTTACACTTCATACAAAAATTACAATTATGTAATAAAATATTATAATACGTATGCATTCAGAAGAATAATAATCGTAAAATAACAACTTCCAGTTTAATAAAGTAAGCTTTTAATGTTTTATTCATATTTGACAACGTGACCTAACGCATATTCATCGGAATATTCCTCTGAAACTAAATTGACGCGGAAAATGTAATATGATTCCGGACCCGTCTATCCTACATACAGTAGACACACTAACCCAAAAAAAGTGAGTGGCAGCCACAGAAACAAGAGCAGGGCTGAGTAGCTCAATGTGGACCCTCTGCTGATTGGACACAAGGGCTCATCCTAGCATGATGGATGAGAGCAGCAGCCAATGAATGGGAGGCAGAGGCAAATAAAATGAGAAGATGAACACAGAAATCATTAAAAAATACAACAGGAAGACAGACCAAGAGGAAACAATGACATGAAAAATTATGAAAAAAAAAATGCAAATACAGATATCATAGAGCATTTGTTGGAGTGACCAGACAGATAACATTGTACCCAAAGGCCACAACTGATCGTAATCTGACAGCGAATGACATTTGTGAACAATTACAGCTAGTATAAATCTGTCTTGTCAGCACACAGGCGCTGAGGTCGATGCCTTACATTTTCATTGTTGTCGAAGCACACGTCGGGCCCTTTGCGGTACCTCGGGTTCTGGGCCAGTTCGCATGGATCTGGACCTTCAGCTGAACACGCAGTTTTAAGGAAAACAGCTACAATGTGGTGATAAACCAGAATAAGATTCCTAACTAAACTTAAATATGCAAAGTACATGTCATTTCAAATGTGTTGGTGTCTGCTGAGCACAATCATTTTGGTTCAACATGACACTTTGGAAAGTACTGCCTGTCTAAGTATTGTACGAATGAATAGAATACAGAAGGCGTTAAAATGACAATAAATTCATAGTATTAAACAATGTTAAGTGTTGAACACACTTAATGATACATCAAGAATAATGTTGTAATTCTGATGTAAAATTTCCCAGACATTTAATAATAATTCTCATCACAATTTTCTTGAACTGTTTGCTTGTTTTATTTTAACCCCAAAAAGCAATATCATTCTTTTAGAAACATAAAGTGCTTAAAAAATGCGAACAATTCCAGTGAGAGGAACGAGAACGCTCCAATGCTTTAAAATTATTAAAAACTTCTTTGTCATCATAGGTACTTTTCTCAATAGGAAAAAAACAAACATTATTTCACAACAGCACCATCTGCAAAATCGCATTGACGGCGTTATTCAAACTATTTTCCACTGTACAAAAACAGAGGAGCACGGGTGGAAAATAGATGTTGCGCATTGTCTTTGCTTGGCTAAGCAGCATAAATCTTTGGAAGATGCATATTTGACAAAAAGCAAGATGACAAGAAATCAGTCACTTGCGCCGACTGCAAAACCTTGCAAACGAACTAACGAACCAAAGAAACTCCTGAAAGGGGTAAATTGAACCGTGCTACCGATTGGAGACAATGTATCAAAACATTATGATTGTTATTACCACCTAAAAAAGCCATAGCATGAGGTTAAGGATCTATCTCGACACAGAAGGTAAAAAATAAAACCAACACAGGCACACACACAAACACACACACACAAACGCACACACAAATGGTGAACGCAATCTTGCTCGTGCTACGTCCAAAACCTCGAACATAATCTATGAAAAATGAATGATCATTATTCTCAGAAAAAAGTAGAAGGCATAAAACCAATTGAACAGCAAAAAAGAATAATAACAAAACCTTGCTACCATTGCAAATATTTTAAAATAATGTATGAAAAATGAATGAGTGTGGGTATGATGCCTTAGTCTTAAAAATACCCTCAGAAAAAAACCTGGATGAGCACTGAACTGATTATCCCGATGCAGAAGGTGAAAAATGAAACTAACAAACACAAAAAACAAATAAAAAGTGTTAACACGACCTTATTTCTTCTAAAAAATGAATGATTGATTGTTATGCCCTTCTCAGAAAAATACACTCAAACATCGGTGAAAAATACTCTGATGCGAAAGGAACTGATTATATCAACATAGAAGGCATAAAATAAAATTTAAAACCCCAAACCTAAGTAGGAGGGAATCAAACATTGCTTCTGATGGAGAAAATTGGACGTAATGTATGAAAAGTGAATGGTTGTTATGCCCTTCTCAGGAAAAGGTTGCGTATGGAATAGATAATCTCAAAAAAAAAAAAAAAAAAAAAAAAACCAAAAAAAATTATTTCCTTCTCAGACAAAAAAAAAAAAAAAAAACATCTGAGAAAGGAACTGATCGACACAGAAGGCATAAAGCAAAATTAAAGAGACACAAATTTGACATTGGGCATGCGAAACAAATGTCAGGAAACAAACCGCAGACTCGCAAGACCCCAAATCACATCAGGAAACAATAAATCTGACTAAACACCAAATAACACAGTCCAAAACAATCAAAACTCAAAGTCCATTTGAGACTAAAGGCCAACAAATAGCTCTAAACCGAACAATTTGTCCATCCGTGTTAAACTGCACCGACACCACTACCTTAGTGGCAACAAATGTGCCCTGTAGTGACCCCGTGACAAACGCTGTGATGACACCTTTACTGTTTGAGCAGCAAGAAGCAGCATTGAAGCTACATCTGTCAAACAGATATCCTGTCTACATTTCAACACACAAGTGCACCTCTGCTCTTAACCTTCATTCAACTTGATGGCGGCGCGCAGGCCAGAAACAAAGAAACGTCAACCTGGTAGTAACGTGAGAGTGCCCTTTTATACGCACCGCATCTGGTTTACTGCTCACCCATAGACGCTCAGAAGGGGACCTGCTGAAAAGTGCTTCGGCGTGTGTCCTTGGACGCCGACTTTAAAGCTCTCTTGTCGCAAGTGCTGATGGATGGGAGGACTCGGGAGTAAAAAAAAAAAAAAAAAAAGACATGTCACTCCCATGTTGACTATTTACGACTTGAGTGAAAGGATACAGGGTTGTTCGGCTTGTCGCAGCGGCCTGGGATCACATGACAAACACGTGGCCTTGGCGTCGGTGATCAGGAACACCAGGTTGGTGTTTGGAAGCTTCTCCGCTCGATACATCCTGTTGGGCATGCAGAGATGATGCAGCGTGAATTTATTTGGCAATCACACAAAACATTGGGAACTATGGATTCTTGCGTTCGGTTTGAGTCGCATGTTTGTCTTTAAATTTGGTTGAATTTCCACTCCATGTAATTGTTCGTCTGTCTACCACCCTCACGTCTACATTCACACATCCATCCATAGACCTAACTGGCAACGGACTTCTGAAGGTGCTTAGTTGCAAAAGAAGCAATGTACTGTATTTGTGATTTTTTTTTTTGTTTCTGAAAGTCATATTGTTCCATAAAAAAAACATACATTTACAAAAAGTAATATATTTCCATTAACAAAAGTATCCATCCATCTTTTGCTTACCTGTCCATCTCTCTTCAGTATATCAACCTACCATCTATCCATCCAGCTACCACCCTTCAATGCATCCACCTATCTAGCCACCAATATACTTGAACAATCTGCCACCCTTCGATCACATTTACCGAATTATCAATTCATCTATGCTATCCCCCACTCCCTCCCCAAGCATTCATCTATACAACAACATATGTGTCCATTCATCTAAGAATCCCTCTATAAATCACATCTTGTCATCATTGAAACAGGATTAATTTAGGGCGGGTAAGCTTTTATCCACATTGTCCGAAGATGTATTTTGGGTAGTTCTGCTAACGTTACAGTGATTTACTTTATGAGCTGCTATGTAATATAAGAAGTCCCATTTGATACATACTGCTTGGACCCGTGCAGGTGTTTAAGTGGCCTCTCTAAGCTCTTCTCTTATTGGCTTTTTTATGTCTGCCATGAGGCTTCATGTGTGTGTGTGTGTGTGTGTGTGTGTGTGTGTGTGTGTGTGTGTGTGTGTGTGTGTGTGTGTGTGTGTGTGTGTGTGTGTGCAGCCGCTGACATTGGGAACCAGACACGCGGGATGCATAACGTCGAGTAATTACAGCCATATTTAACCCCCAAATTGACACACAAGAAGGTTAAAGCAAAGTAAATGCGCAGCAGCCCATGAATAATAACGAATTTGAAGAAAAGCCAGAGATTGGGGGGAAGGAAAACAGATAAAAGAACATTTGTGCTTCCCCCTGCAGTTCCTGTCAATGACGGATCAAGGTCAAATGTGCCTGATTGGAACTCGTAAGAGAAGCCGCCTGAAGTAAAAACCGGGAGAGGCCCTTCAGGAAGGCAACGCTATTCCTAACCTACCCCCACGGATCATTAAACAGAAGGATGTGCAGGAAAATGATCTGAGGAAGGGGGGGAAAACTTTATAGCGTCATTTACACCACATTCACACTTAAAGGAGAAAGTTGATAGTTTGTGGGGGCGCATGAAAAATTAATATACACGGAGCATACTCAACGGAGATTAACAGACATACCTTGAACAGTTTCCACAGTCCAGGACCCCTGAGTAGGATCTTTCATTGTTGTCAAAGAAGTATTGCGTCTGCTCCGTGATGCAGCTTTCTTTAAACATGGCGTCAGGAATGTCCTCATCCGATGACTCCGCTGAATGAGGTTTGCACAAGGAACTGTTTGTAGTAAACATATGCTGCTTTTCCACTGCACAGTACCGCGGCTATGACAAAAACAGCTTGACTCAGGACTGACCAGCAGTGGTTTTAATCACCCTTTCGGTATCTAGTCAACAAGATTGAAGAAAATGTTTGGAATAGTTCATCCAAACACTTGCCAATGATTAAGTGTGAGTGGCAAGTAAAGCCAGGTTTTGGGAAAAGGGCATTTCAAGAGAAGTAAACAGTGGCAACAATTGGAAAAGGGTGTGTTGCTCACCTGCCTCCAGAAGATTGGGGAACACGAGGCCATAGAAGAGCTGCTGGAGTATCGACCTATACAAAGATTGTTGTTGATATTTTAGTTTGACAGACCCAGAAAACATACATTTGTATCTTTAAGGCAGGATTTACTTGCAATCTTAATTTGTCTTCCACCGACAACGGGCAACTCACTATACAATTACATATTTTAAGCCATAACAGAAAAAGAAACTATCAATTACTCAAGGGGCATTAAAGTACATCAAGTGGGGACATGATAAAAACTAGGACCCATTATGCTCCCAAACCAAACATTAGGAAAGGCTACGATAGTGCCGACATACGTTTGAAAGTTACAACAATGCACAATCAACTAGTTATACTTAAGGTCACATAACATTCCAATGTTATTTTTAGGGAGTATAAGTGTTTTTCAAACAAAACTTTACTGTAATTCTGACTTTACTTTTTGTAGCATAGGTTAATGATAGACTCCCGCATTTATTACTTTCAAAGTATGTACGAGTTCGGGTATGTCACTATCTGAAACTGAGGACATGCACCTTTTACAGCAAAGGAACACACTTTGTCCATTTAAAAACATACCTTTATTCAATTTATTCCCCTGCAAGTCCTCCAAATTAGTCCTATACCGTACATACAGTACTTATACGAGTAGATTAAAGGATAGAAACTGACTGCAACTGCACTCAACATTCTTCGATTGCACATTGACCCCACAAGCTTGGAAACATGAATGTGTTAGCCGCGACCATCAAAAATCATGACCGTAAAACAGATATGAACTCACCAGGCAGCAGTGGAAGCCCACCAGCCAATATTGAGCAAGTCTGCGATGGTTGGCTACAAAAAAAAGAGTCAGATATGGAGGTTAAAACCATCGAAGGAACGCCCACATTTGTGTCAAAGCAAATCCAATGAGCAACCGACCACGTAGACAGAGCAAGGCCCCGCCGCAGCCTTGCTGTCTTTCTCCGGGTCACAAACAGACTGGTAGTCGTAGGTCTTGTTGAAGGAGTACAAAGACGTGTTGACCAGGTTGATCATCAGAACGGGATCCACCTCGCCAAAGAACTGACCCATCTGGACAAACAAAAGGGACACTCAGTTTGGGAAAGGTTTTGAAGAAGCTGCTGAAGTGGGGCTTTGCATGGCAGTGAATCAGTTCCTTAGAAGCTGGCATCTGCTTTCTACGCCACTTTGCATGGAGAGTTCAGTCAAACGCAGACAATCCCTTTAAGCAGCCAGCTGTCAACACATCTTTGGTGCATGTAATGGAGTGGGCCATTGCCATGTCCTTTCCCCCTTCTGCTCAGTTCTGCAATGTCAGATGTTATGCAACAGTATTATATTCCTGCCATAGCCACAGAGGAATCGTTTTTCTTTCTTTCGGAAGGGTGCTGTAAAAAGTTACTAGACTACACTACTCCCATTTTCTGTCTTGATAAAAAGGACAGATGTAAGTGGCCAGAGATTTTTAAAAAAATGAATGTTCCATTCCTTTTTTTTTTTTACAAGTAGCCTTCATGCATACAAAATACAACACTGATATTTCAAAGCCACTGGCATTTGTTTGTTTCTTCAATTCAAGAAAATAAAGGATCCGACCAATAAAGGCCCGATCTGCAAAATTTAAAGCAGATGGGCTGTAGTCAGGTGCCAGACAATTCACAACTGTAGAATGTCTGTCTGAATTGGTGGAGCCGCTCCAAAAGAATTAGCATCTTACAAAGGAAGACTCATGCATTGTCAAGAGCTGATTTTTCTTTTCAACCACACTACAAAAATGAAAAGCCAGAAAAATCAACCCTGAGGCCCAACTGATAAAATAATAACAGATCACACCAACTGCATGAAAAATACCGGAAAACTATTTTGACGAAACCATTTTACGAAGACACTCGAGGACTGAATGACATTGTGAAAAAAAAAAAAAAAACCCTTATGTGTCTCCTTTAAAAACATGCAGTACTGTATGTCCATTCTTGACTGACAAGGAGCATTCCTCAGACCAGTACATATATGAACATTGGACCACAGGGACCCACAGCAGTCTGCAGTCTGTATGGCTATGTGAGAGGCTCATATTCACAAGAGACTCACTACAATAAAACATCCCTGACTGAAAGAACCTGAACTTTGATCATCCTCCTGCGTCTGATGTTGTACTTTAGCAGGGGCACGGATGAACCTACCTCCTCGAGGAGCTTTGAAAGGAGCTCAGAGGAGGCAAGTAAGCCATCTTTGTAACTTAGCCGTAAGTCCTTTGCCTGACCTTGCGCTGAGATTGATGCAGTCCCGCGAGATGCAAAAGCTGACTTACAAAGTTACCAATTTCACCTTTCCGAGCGACATGGCTCAATGTTTCATCCTGTGATATTCTTTCATACAACAGACTACCTCAAGATCACCCGCAAAGACACTTTTTCAGTTTGATTTTACAAGGGAATAATTTCAGCATACCTGAATTGATGTGCAAGACTAACTAATGTGGAAATAATTGGTTGGTCTGTTTTAACAGGTCTTAGGATTTACTGGGCTAACTTGGGACCTCGGGTATGGTATTTCGTGCCATATCATGTGGAAATGTGTTTTGGCACAACAAAAAATTCATTGAATCCTTGAAAAAAAGTGTGCCTTTCATAGTTTATATTTGATAATAATGTTTTCAAGATCGAGACAAGCCAAAATCGAAATCACAATTCAAATTCAATTGTAATTGCCCAGCCCTAAAGACAGTAGCTCTGACCAAAACAACTCCAATGTATCATTTTTAGTAAAAAAAAAAAAGATTTTTTAAACCAGTGCTGTACATGCCATTAAAAGACATTGCCAAGCGTCTTTAAATATTGACACTCACCAAGCTAATGTAATCATCCTGATTGGACATGAGCAGAAAGCCTCCATCATCCAGGATGACACAGTCTACATGCTGCAAAGGGGCAAAACACTTCAGAGCCAAGCCACAAGTGTGATGTTTTTTTTTTTTTTAAACATGCATCGTTTTACCTTGTCATTCCTCATACAGCCACAGATCTCATCTTTGCACTAAAATAAAGAAAAAAGTTCATTCAGTGCTAACGCCTAAATGTGTGAAAATGAATAATAATAAACACAAGGGAGTATATAAACATCACTTACATTCTCTTTGAGTGTGGCGTTCATGAAACTGTTCATCCAAAAAGTGACATTCAGTTTCACTCCCACCACTAAAAACAGACGAGCAGCAAAAATACGGCCTTCGTTAACCGATGAAAAGTTGCAACCTTTTTTTTCTTCCATTTTCAAATGACGCAATTTGGTTTCATGTTGTGTCGTGGTCCTTTTTTTTTCATACAATGTAATTTCCACCCTTTCTAATCAGCCCTGTTCCTTGTGTCAACCAATCAGTTACCACTCGTGTCACTGTCTCATTGGTTTGCTTGGATTTTATTCCCTGGTTTATTTCGGTTTTGGTTGGTTCAGGATTACACATGAGTCTAGTCGTGTTATGATTCTTTTTGTTGTAAGTTTATGATCTCAACTCACTTTTGTTACATACGATTTAGAAATAAATCCTCATTATATTTTGGAATATGTAAAATAAATGGTTTCATTTTTAAATAAACATTGACTGAGTTGGGGTTTGGGAACGTGAAAATGGTTGAAAAAAAAGCCACTATTACTACATCAAAGGTAATTGAAACTTAAAACATAGATGTTTTAATAATGTACTTTAATTGCAAGGCTCTGTGCGATGAATATTATTTTTGAGCACGGAGCTCCCTGAAAGTTTGCACTCCCGGGTTTAACTTCCAATCTTTTTTACAAGCAGCAGCAATCGATGTGGGATTAAGCACAACTGACCCGCCGGCTTAAGCGTGACTTCATTGATGGTGAGATCTACGGCTTTGCTGACGAGGATACCAGATTCGGACACGCTCTCTCGGCCTTCTGCTGCAACTGAGAGAAGGGCACATGAGGGAACATTGATTGTAATCACTGCACATTTGGCTGAACAGCATGCAGAAGCGAACGTTTCAGAACCACACTTAAAATGGGAATAATTGTTATCCATGGCGGGGAACGCTTCCAGATCTTGTAATTCACATTGAGCCCGATGGGGCTCGCGAACCCCCATGTGTTAATCCAGTTGAGTGTTACCCCGACTGCATTACACTCATTGTTTGCCTCCCCTGACGTCTGCCGGAGAGATTAGTGGAGATAAGCAAGAGAGGGAGCTCACAGTCCAAGAGTGAGGCCGAGGATGAGTGCTGACAGACAAACTGTAAGCCAGGAAGAGACCGAGGATAAAAGGCATGATGTCATTGGTGTACGAGTGCGATCTTCACCAGAACAATTCTGGCTGACTTACAAAGGCACTGCGACTCCACGCCAGACTACACTGAAAACAAAAGCTCCAGCACCACAAGTGCGTACACATGAGGTTCTTACTGTTAAAAGACGGAGCTGTGAAAATGTAGATGTCGTTGTCCAAGGCTCTCTTGTAGAAGCTGGATTCATACGTCTCTGGGTTCTCCAACCAATCTTCTCCGGCGCTAAAAAAAAAAAAAAAAAAAGTCAAAATATTCAAATCAATTAATCTGTAGTTAACCAACTTGTTATGGTGTGAGTAAAATTAATCGAATTTAAAGATTACTTCTTCTCCTAGGATTGTCATATTTGATTTTTTTTTGTTTTGGATTTTATATTGTAAATGAAATTAGGCCCAGCAGTGACACAAAGGACCAAATGATGAAAGAATGTCCGTCTCTCTCTCTCTCTCTCTTTTTTCTTGCTATAATGTCAAAAACTGTTAAAGATTACAATGGATACTTGCAGTTAACAATACTATTACAATATAGAAATCAAAATAGCAGAGATACTTCTTGTGAGCATATTTAACCCTTTCACACCAATAATGATAACCTGTCCACTGTCGTCACCACTGTCTCCGAAAGGGTTGATGAAAATATTCTGGTCGATGGATGCTAGATGGATGTGTAAAATAAGGTGACATAATGCATCATGGTATTGATTTTGTCACAATTTAGATGACAAATAAATACAGAAATTAGCGATTACAAGAAAAGTTCGCTTGTGGAAAAATGAGACCTCCCATGCGTAGCAAATGAAAATAAAATGCATGCGGCTGTCGCATGTATGCGTGGAAGTCCTTGTACTGCCCTCATCGTTCATGTTGAAAAGCCACTGGAGCAGCAAAAAAAGAGCTCCGACTAAAAATATCACAGCCCATTTCAATTTTCACAGCACATATTTGCGTGCCCAGACAGTTGGCCAAAGCTCTCAGGCTAGTTTGGCTGCGCCAGAGAGAAACAACGTAGAAGACGAGCAGGGTTACCTTCTCGGGAAGACTCTTGTGATTCCTCCATCTGTGGCTACAAACCTGGCCACTGTCCCATTCCTGAGAGGATGGAAAAAAACGGTCAAGCGTCGAAGTGGATCACACTGACAAATAGTGCATCTGTGAATTGCCAGCTGGGGAAAAGAGACACTCTTGAATTTCACAACCAGAGTCACTTATCCATGTAGAGAGGACCATTGGAACCTGCTACCAAAATGCGGTATAAATGTCAAAAAAGAATCCAGAACCCAACGGAAACTGGAATCAACTCATCTCCCTTGCCTCCCAAAGTTTTTGACCGTGTTTTCCTAGACTCATTTTTTCTGAATATGTAGAGCCTTTCCAATGATAAGGCTAAGAAAATAATTGAATTGCCAATTTAGAAAACAACTGTGTATTTTTTGTTCACGCCTCCAATACATATATATGAACTTATTGGAGATGTTTATAGCCTTGCAATCCAACATTTTGCTGCCACAGACATATATATGGTACGTTTTTTTTAATGGTTAGGCGTGGAAGACGGCCTCGCACAGCTTGTCTTTGAAATTCAGGTTGGTAAACCACTATAATGAAAAACAGGTCACCATAGCTTTTGAACTGAAGGTAAAGATGAGAGGGTGAATCTCCGGTTGATACGTTGATTATTAGGAGGAAAAATGCCAACATGTTGGAAGTCGAAGACATTTATGCAATTTGCACTCAAACATAATATGTACCTGCATGGTAGAAACAGAGCAGAGGTGGGCATTGCATCAGACTGACGGACCTGTCAACCCATCACTGACGGATGCCTGTTTTGCTGATGACTGATGAATGACGGGAAACGTAAAAAAACAAAAACGATGGACTGATAAAAGTGGATTTTCACGCCCATCTCTGAAGCAGAGAATGTATCACTGTAGATGGTAAAGTGTGTCACAATCGTTAAAAACGATGATCAGGATCATCATGTGCTGTAAATAAGCCACCAAGTCTCAACTCGAGCCATTCGGCGAGCTAGCATAGTTCATGGCGCATTTCACGATTTTGCACAACATTCTTTGAGTCCTGAAAGATCAGTCAAAATATTCTATAATAGCGGACAATATGGCAGATGGGGAATTGACTAACTACACTAAAATGTGAATTAAATTTGAAAGTTATTGCCTATTTCCATTGTCCACTGTATTCTTTGAATTAAATATGTAAATAGTTAAAGATTACACAAACCGAGGAACCACTGTTCAAAACCTTTCTGGAGTGGATTGATCATTTGCGAATTTTCTGAGGCAGCACGCCTGCCATGCTTGAACGATGGTCCACATGCGCAGGCATAAGGAATCTCAACTTCATGGAAAGCAGTCTCAAATGGAACCCGATATCATATTTAAATTTGTGCACACACTCCAAATTAACTGGTTACATTATATGGAATATGGAACATTTTTACACATCTTTTGAAATGATTCCTGGCAGTGTTACTTGTGTTGTCTGGCAGCAGTAAGCATTGTTTGCTTTGCAATCTAGCCGGATGCACAACACACATACTGACTCCCGGGCCGAGCATTTTATTCCAAAAACTGTATGCATACAACCCGACAAAACGAAGGAGCATGGCTACAAATCTGGATGAGTCTTACTCACACTTTCTGCTCTCTCCACAAGTCAACCAGCTCGGCTGTCAGGCCCGCATCCAAGATGAGTCGACTCACAAGGGATACGTTGCCTGTGATTAGAGACAGATGCCGTCTACATATCATGCATGTTACGGCTTCTGTAGCTTGGCTTGCAAGCAAAATGAATGGAAGACAACAACGATGTCACCGAAAGCTAAATGACTGTAACATTTCTTACTCTTTAATAGTTTATACCAGGGATGTCCAATTATGTTCCACTGAGGGCCACATCGAGAAAAATGAAAGGAAAAAGGGTGGGAGCATACTTCACGTTGTGTTTTAAAAAACATGCTAAAAACAATTCAATACTGTTGGACAGGCCTTGGCTAGGTCAGGCGCAGGGGCCACATCCCGCTTGCCTACAGCCTCAGATCATCCCTCAGATTGATGATAAAGTCAAAGTAAATGTAAAAGTCAGTGGTGCTTTTATTTTGAAAGTTGTGGTTTTTCATATGCACACATGTGGACGCTAGAACAAGCGAGGTAGCGTGCAAAATCGCAATGTTTGTTTTCTATTTAGCTTCTCTCGCGTTAGTGCAGTGGTTTTTAACCTTTTTAGAGGTACCGAACCCAACCAGTTAATATGCATATACACCGAACCCTTCATTACTGAAAAATAAATATATATTTTTTTTTACAAACTCAAGATTAAAAAAAAAAGTAAATAACATTTCAAGAGATAAGTATCTTTTTTTTTTTTTTTGAATTGTACGACATACTATCACGACAGTCACACATTGACGACTGAGCAAACTAAATTTCCCTCAGCACTGTGATCATCTGCAGCCAGTGATGACCAAGCGGGCGTGTCATAACTGATTGACATATTGAGTCGGGTACTGTATGTCTTAACCTCCATGGCAAAGGCTCCGTCGAACCCCTGAGCCCGATTCATCGAACCCCTAGGGTTCGATTGTACCCAGGTTAAGAACCACTGTGTTAGTGTGATCTCTACTTTTTTTGTATAATTTTTTGAGCCATTGAGTCATTCGGCCAATTTTTGCTTGCACTTGACTGCAACCTATGAGTGCTGTATGCATATGGTAGAAATGAACTTCAGTCCCTTCACAACAAACCGACACTTGGCAGATCGAACTAACCACATAACTTTGCCTTAAAGTCCTCCGGGTTGATGCTAACACATAACAGGGGCTGTCGAATAAAATCTATGTGGTGATGTTATAACGCTTTAAAAAAGGGCTATTAGAATACACATGTCGACAGACGGTATCACAAAAATCCCACGCATGTACAGTATGCTTTATTCTCAGTGGAAAAAAAACCCGAACTAATATTACTGCAATTTTCTGAGTCACTGTGAGTAGTTTTCATTTGTGTGTTCGTGACTCTATTTTGCTGCCCCCGATGGCCCAGTTGCACACATGCGTGCGCGCGCGCGCGCACACACACACACACACACACACACACACACACACACACACACACACACCCACACACACACACACACACACACACACACACACTACAAAAATCTTTTTTGTGGGGAGGGCGGGGGGGTGGTTCTGAGTAGTGACGATTAATGAGTGTGGTCATGGATTAAATTAAATTTAAATTTCCTTATGATGTATGAAGAATATAAAGACTATGCAGTGGGCCACTAAAATGCTTCCAAACGTGAATGGCCCTCGGTCAGACTTTGGACACCCCTGGTTTGGACACCAAACTTTTCAAAGGCCAAGTGTGACCTTGGCTCCAAATGGATCAGGGATAGCTGCCTCCATTAGCAAGGGGGGATAATGGCTGTAAGCTATACCGGCCAGTGAGATCCATTAGATGACGACCAATCAAACCAGATGAGTCACCGCGTAGAATGACAACACGGAGCTTCTAGGAAGCTCAGTCGATTAGGCCTGATGTCACCCTGCTCAGACCTGACTCATCAAATGAGCTGCCCTTCAGACGCTGAGCACAGGGATGAAGATTGCGAATGAGGAAATAGACTGTGGCGCATGCACACACACACACACACAGGTCTCACGTTTAAACAACTGCACACAGTGTACATTGATGAAGGCCGAAACACCATCAGTGCAAGTATTTAAAAAGAAAACCAAAACACTGAGAGAGATGCATGACTCACATGCATCTGGAGTGTTCCTATCAATGTACTGGTTGAAATCGAGGAGAAACTGGGTGTTGTTGAGCGACAACGTCAGCTCTTTGCAGTACTCCCTGAAGAAACAGCAACCGTCAGTTTCACTCTCGGCACCACTTTTGTTCCGGCATGCGCAACGCTACGTTCAGTTGGGGAAAGTGGGCAGGGGGCGGTGCGGGGCTTGGCCCACTCACCGTGGAGCGATGAAGGTGTGACCAAAGTTGTCAAAATTCTCCAGCTGGAGGGTTTCCATCACTTTGGAAAAACACACACACACACACACACACACACACACACACACACACACACACACACACACACACAAATCTTAACTTACATCATCTGCATTTTTGTCACATTCATGTGCTGAAATACAGTAGTGACACAATCATCTTAATATATATCATGTGACTGGCATTTTGGTCCCCTAAAACGTTTTACATGCTGTCATATTCATGTTCCCTGATAGAAATAATAACATGCATTCAAGACAAACACAGATGCAGTAACACTGACACCCACAAATGCAGACAAATATAAATGCAACAACACACACACACACACACACACACACACACACACACACACACACACACACACGCCTCAATTTATGCTACTCTGTGTCAGAACAGCAGTTTTGTTCCTGCAAAAATGTGTATTGTCACAACTTAAGGGTTGCTATCTGGTTGATTTTTTTATTTTAAAGGAATGACAATACACACATACAGTCACACACACCCTAAATACATAGATCATATTTTTCATCACTTTAGTTCCCACTGAAATTTTGATGTGCTTTTAAGATTCACAGTATGTTCCCAGATACTGACAATAACATGTTCACACACACACACACACACACACACACACACACACACACACACACACACACACACACACACACACACACGGACACAAGACATATTAGACAGATATGAGGTGCTGGATAAAGAGAGCAAAGCGAAGAGTGGCGGCTCATAAGGAATGAAATACTTGCCTATTTGCCCTGTGACCCCCATCAAGAGGAAGGAGGAGAGGAGAAAGAAAGTGAGAAAGTAAGAAAGTAGTTGGAAAATGTTGTCTGATGAACTAAAATGTCAGAGCATGCATCGAAACAGGTTGTAAACACCCCCCCCCCTCCCAAAAAATCTCTCCAAGCTGTGGACGAGCATTCCAAATCTCGTAAATGACAAGACAGGCATCATTCGGCGTCATTCAAGAAAGTTCTCTTCAACTTTATAGCGTGTATTCAGCTGGCGTGGTGGCGCTGTCTGCAAAATTCATCACCGAACGGCCCACTTTGAACATTGTCATGGAAAATTGCTGTGGGATGAAACGATATCCTTCGCGTAAAAGAGATGACAGGCAGATTTATTGGCAGCATCATATATAGCAGCCCCCGGTATAGGAACGCATGTTTATGCAGTACGACTTGGGGGGGCAAGTTTTTCTTATGAATCAGTCGAGAGATGTTAGTGGTGGTCTGGCTCTGTTGTGAAACTTAAAGATTTATGGAAAATAGATTTTTGAATAGCTTGAATGTTAAAAAAAAAGAAGTTTGCTGGTCAAGAGAGGGCGCCTCCCTACCACTGACTGTGGCCCCTTTTCTTGAAGACAATAATCAAATAAAAATATTGATAATAAAATGAAAGTATTTTGAAAAATCTCTTTATCTATTCTTGGATAAGAAGGGTAAAAAGTAGACAGTTAATCATGAGTAAAGTAGGTCATGCATCTCTGTTGTCTGATTTGGTGACATATTTCCAGTGGGGCACAAAGCTTTCCCAATCGATTCTCATCTCAAGTATTTGATGAAATGTAGATTTCTTCCTTTTCTTTGGTATTGGAAATGATCAATATACATTATTGCACAACAAGGGGTAGGACTAGATAAGTTGTATACTTCTTCCTACTCCTTTGAACATATAACTGTGATGATGTTTGTATTACTTACTTTTATTTTCCTTTCATAATTTTTGTTTGCATTTTGTCATCTGTTATTGTATGTTTTATATATGTTCAATAAACAAACAAACAAACAAACAAATCATTAAATGTTTGACATGCGCAAAAGCTTCTCGTCAAGACAATCAATAGGGCCAAGGTGGGGTGCGACATTTCAGTGCCCTGAGCTAGCCGACGTCATATCCCAGCTTGAGCTCTTTGCACGCAGCACCTTGGTGATTCGTCAAAATTTAAAACATAAGAATAATAATAAATACATCCAGTGAATTTAAGCTTTTCCATGTGAGGGCTATGCCTACTCAATAAAAATAAAGACAACTGAAGATGTCACCTTTCGCTGAATGTTTGCTCTTTATGTACAAAACATTGGAAATATGAATAAAATGTTTGCAATATTTGCGTGACTGCTCTTTGTGTGAAACAGAAAAAAGTGCACAATATGTCTCCGATAAGATGTCTGCATACTGTACTCGAATCAATGCCTAAGTGGATTTTCAGCTCTTTTAACGGCCCCGCAAACGTCGACAGGCTCTTTACGACAGCAAGTGACACAAAGGCCAAAGCGCTCAGTCAAAATCTCATCTACTGGGATATCTGCACCATTAGCCAAACGGCTTTGTAGAGACACATCAAAGTGATGAAAATGCACTAGAGACAGATGTTTTTTCACGCTGAACTTGCTGTTTTTTAGCCGCTAATAATACCCTGCGAGGCATCCTAAATATCTACGTAATCGTCAACAGAGCGCTAAATGTGATTATCACAAAAATGCGCAAAGGACAAAAAGCATGCAAGAAGCGGAAGGAACATAACATTACAAAAAATAAATCAATAAATACGGATAGAAAAGGGAGTACTTGCCCCAAGACGATGCTGTAAATGTCCAGCAGAGAAGACACACCAGAGAAGTAGCAAAGAATTTAGTTGAAAATCATGCAGAAAGAATTCACTCAAACAATGTGGATTTTGTATGTGTGTGTGTGTGTGTGTGTGTGTGTGTGTGTGTGTGTGTGTGTGTGTGTGTGTGTGTGTGTGTCTATAAACACGTGCAAATATGATATAGGCAAATATTTGGGGGGTAACGAAAACCAATTTGAATTGGTACATGAACAAATGAATCACTCTGAATGTAGCTTTAATTGGTAAATAAACCATCAAAAAAGTTATAAATCTGTATGAATCGGTTTGCTATTGCTGGTGATTTGTTGTTTCTTTTAATTTAATGAACTTCAGTAGTTTGGACTTCGGGGAGCTTTCACATGTTATTGCATGTTGATAAACATGAGAAAAAGCTACTGATGCATTTCTTCGTCTTTGATAAATCTACTTGTAGGAAATACCACATTTAAAGTTCTAAAAAGTTAATTCATATTGATACATGATGGTCTACTCTCAGCAAGAAACTGCATCAGAATCTCCCGAGCTGAGCCGTACCAAATCAAATTGAGTGGTAATCCCACCGAATCAAATCAATTCGTTCAACTTGAAAATGTATTGTCCTTGAACCGTATCGCACCCAAACTACCGAGATTCTGTACGTATCAATTCATCTTTTCTGGGAGAGATGCACACCCCTAGCAACTATGCTACGAGGCTAAAGATATGTGTGTAAAGTAAACCCCTGCTTTTTGCAGGGAATAAGGACTGAATAAGGACTACTTTTACTCTAAATTCAGCTCCTCACCTCACTTCAGCTTCCCAAATGCCACCAGATTTATTAAAACTTTTTTTGCAGGCCGCAACGTACAGTTTACCAATTTGAGAACCAGTGCTGTAAATAATCATGTCATGTTTGCATTCCATCCCTTTGTTGCTTCATACTTTTTGTCCAAACTGCTTATGCTAGATGGAATAGTTGAGCGTGGGGAGACAAAAGCAAGAAAAGCCAAAAATCTAAAAGCAGATCAGAACAAAAGAAAAGGAGGAAGGCAAAAAAGTTTAGGGAGGATCAAAAGAACCTCAGCGCTCGGGCTGGGTCGCTGACAAGGGGTTCATGTGTTTGACTGTGCATGGGAGTGCGTGGCCGCTGACCAGCAGGTTACACTACAAACGAAAAAGCACATCGGGAATGCGGCACACAGGGAGCGGCCTGCGGTTCCAGCTGGGAAACAACAGTGGTGACCCGATGAAAATTTGTGAGGGAGTTTCTCGTGAAGGGCCAATACAAGGAAATGAAAGTGCAGTTTACAAGATCACGGATGGTGTTGCACTCACACATTGCTTGCTTGATGTCATCGCCGAGTTTGGCTTGAATGAAGTGCTCGCTGTATTTCGGCAGAACCAGAGCCAGGCTGCGTGAGAAAGGCACGTGACAACTTGTTTCATTTGATTAGGAAGAAACACGTGGGTGTTGATGTGGTCGGTGATGACCATGACGATGAGGTTATTGTTGATTTCATTGATGCTTTTGATGACAATGCGGTTTGTCGGTTCAATCGAGGTGTCTGTCTGCTTGGATTTTTATCGAGCTGATGTTTCGCTGTCAGTCTACCTACAGTAGGGGTCACCAACATGGTGCCCCAGGCAGCCCTTGAAGTAGCCCTTGAGGCCCAACTGAGTAGCCCGTGGGCCTGTTCTAAAAATAGCTCCCCAGCGATGGGACATTGCGAAAATGTAAACACTGGCAGAGATTTCTAGAAATAACATGTTGCATATTGATCTTGATACATCCTAAATATAAGCTATGAGATGCAAATTTTTAACAGCATTATCGATCCATCCAAATGGACATTTGAAGCAAACAGTGGAAGCTTGGTTCACAAATGTCATTGGCTTCAAGAAGCTGTTTACAAACTGAAGCAATTTCCCATTTAAATTGTTCTTAACATTCGTGCGAGAGTTGGATTCATCGTAAGTCAACCAGTCTTGCCTGGCAAGTGAGACGCAAGAATGACATAATGAGAGGCAACTTTTACATCTAACCTTCTCCTTCAATCTCCAAGCGTTCGTAGCCAACTTACGATGTGTCTATAACAAGAATTCAAATGGTAGATTTCCGCCAGACCAAACCCCGCAACGTGATAACAAACTATTCTCATGTTTAACTTTTACAGTGACCCCACACAAGTTTGCTTATTTGTGGGGTTTTCGCTGAAAAGCTCACCTCGGCAAGAAATGGCGACTTCTGAAGGAATCTTGGGGCCAAAGAAACTATTTGAAGATAGGTGAGTTTTTAGCTCGGCAAAAGGATTTCTCTGCTGTCCTCTTGTGGCATTTTTAGGCACTTAAAAATGCTGGGGGGTGGGAGGGGCGGGGCATACTTCATAATCACAGAATTCAATTTTTTTTTAAACAGTAATAATTTTTGTATATAGAAAATGAAGTGTGATGCCTGAACCAAGACAATTTGGATTAGAAAATGTTGTTCATGAAACAAATGGTTTGTGAACTGGGCATTCGTGAACAACTCGACTGTAGTTATTCTGAGTAAAGTCAGCCTGACATGAGAAACCAAGGTCAGCCCTTGTGGCTTAAATCATACCCTTCATGATTAAGTGACCACTCAGTGATGAGTTATGAGTGGATATGTTTAAATGTAGCACACTTGACACCACATAAGCTCTTCTAGAGCGCTCAGATAACTCACCTGTAATCGGTTCCATTGACTGGTGCCCAAGTGTATGTTCTTACTCCTCTATCAATGTATCTCTGCAAGATGATATGAATATAAAATGCTAATTTAGCCGCAAATGATTGAAAACTCTTTTTTGTAATTGAAAAAAAAAAAACAGTTTCTGACCTCATCCTGAGTTTTCACCAGGGTCTGAATAGTCCGCGCCCCGATCTCGCCATCGATCATCATTCTCCTGATCTGCATGGTGAAGATTTGCACCATTTCAGTTCGTTTACGACTACATTAAGACTCATATCGCTGCACGGTTGAATTTTTAATGCAAAACCATGGGTGCTGCCGACAGTACCTCTACTTTAATGTCATTCTCCAGCTCTGCATCCAGGAAGTCGAGAGTAACCGGCTCCTGGAATTTAGGATTCTACAAGAAAGAATTAAAAAAAAAAAAAAAAAGAGAGACCCTGAAGGGGGTTGGGCTATATTTGGGCAGTGGCATTTTCATTGTGCAACTGAATAATACTACTCAGGGACTTATTTTAAAGTTTTTGGGTCCTATTATTTTGTTGTATTAGTTGTTTTTTTGATAATTATTAATGACTGAGGCAATGTTTACAATCCATTTGGCTGTAGTTATTGTAGGTCCAGAATTATTTGGACAATGAAACAATCTTTCAAAGCTCTATTATGTCTATTTGTCATAGCAGCAAATAATTTGGGGTGGGGGGGTTATGGAATCATCGCGCTTCAGATCGGAATCGGACCTCTTCCAAATCTATTCCTCGCTTGCGGGTGTGCTGAAGCATATGCTAGCTGTCAGTAGGCGGTAGGCAGTCACCCACCGTACCGCCCACCTCTTCCAGATTTTTTCATGAAAATCCGATAACATATTGGATATCTGTCAGTGTGAGTATAATGTAAATGTGGAAATCGGATAGCCATACTGGATATGTGTCACCTGAAATGTTCGTGGACATAGAATATCTGAAAAGAGTATCATGTCAATCTTAAATTGGGCACTTTGACCTGCAGTGTAAATTCAGGTTTAATAATGCCGCAGAAATAATATCAGGCTCTGCTGTCTTGAGTCTGGGTCAGTATATAATCATTTCAGTCATATTTGCGTAACAATACTCATATAATAGGCTTCATTTGTACTGGAATAAGGCCATCAGCATGTCATTTACATCAGAGCAGAGTTGCAAAATTGCCACAAGGCATAATGTTTTTCTGTCCCCAACTAAGCAGCGATACAGGTTTTTCGATGTCATCATTTTCCACTTGACGCTGTTGAACAAACTGAAATCAGTACGGTTAAAGGTTTTTCAATCGGTGAATTATCTGATGAATCAAGCTTGCTGATGTTGAGTTCCAGTCCAGCCTTCCGGACTGACATTCCCTGCCATTGCGCGGATTCCTACTCTTGAAGCTTTCATCAGTGGTGGTAGTAGCTGGCATTCAGCTGTGCGGTTAGTCAAGAACAGATCATTTTTGTTTTTGGAGTATCTTGTGATGGATATGGGATATTGTTCTATGCGTTGGAGCAGTGTGACTGCCATAATGCTTCTACAATTGGGTATGAACTGTCATAGGGACAGAAAAACTTCTTGAGAGGTGACAATTTAGCAATCCTGCTCCAATGTGAATTGGCAAGCCATCAAGCAAGGGAATGATATACTGTACTCCAAAAAAAAAAAAGAAAAAACCACCGTCCTAAGCCTAAAATGTCAAATTTTGATGGCCTAACATCTGAACAACACCTGAAATGAAATACAGCGCGTAGTGTTTTTTTGGCCACCCACTAATGCGCTTTGTTTAAAATAAAACACATCTATGTGCTTGTATGATGGTATAAAATGAAATGTGAGCACAATGATGGTGCTATTGTAGTGCCTGAACATGTGCTGGATGAGATAGTGCCAATGAGATGAAGGGACATTACTGTCCTAAAACGAATAAGACACTGTTCACTTACATCACATTAAATGCACAGTTAAGAAGTGTATAAAATATTCAATGACACATTGAAATTGCATGAGTTCCTTACATTTGGCAATAAGTGAAAGGGGGTGCGTGGGGGAGTGCAGTGAAAGACGACGCATTTCAGCATGAAAATGAGAGAAGGGGAAAAAAAAGAATAAATGATCAAGGGTGAGCAATGATGCATGAGACGGAATAAGACATCAAACATTGTGAAAGAAGACAGGAAAGGATATGAAAAGAACTACCGTAAAAGGGTCGATGAAAGGAATTCAAAGAAAGAGAAGAGGGAATGATATTGAAAGTATTCCAATAACTCACAGGTACGTTCGAAACAGGATTTATTTTACACATTGGAGGGACTTAACTTGACCCTATTTGCTTAATAACACCATCCTAGTATGTCACATTGGGAGTAAACTATGAAGCACAATGCTGACGCAAACTAGGGTATGCTAAGAAGGAAACTGTGGTCAAATATCTCCATACTGTACTCATCTATGGCTACTAAACCGAATATCTACTTTTCTGGAAGATCTCACCTCATGAAAAGTTACAGCATACTTATCATAGAGCCTTAAATTCCTGTTATGGATCCTTTTCTGGGAAAATAATGATGACGTGTTTGGTAAACTAGTTTCCAGTCATACTTGACAGTTGGTGGGATTGACAAAATCACAAGTGTCATAAGAAAATGAAGTTCATAGGAAGTCAGGTACTGGTACTTAACATGTAATGTTATTTCTTTGCTAAGAGCCAATGAAACCTATTCTATATCTTAATGAACGGAATAACCAGTTTTCTAAGTGTCTGTCTAAAAAGTTGCGAGGCTTCTTGCTTGGATTAACTTTACCATAACTGTAAAACATAGTTTTGTTTTTTTAACCAAGAACATGAAATTGGTAGATTGATATCTATCGTCATATGTCCAATTTACAGCTATAGCTAACCTTACGAACTTTATGAAAAGTACACCATGGGCCAAAAAAGGTTGGGCACCCCTGACATAAGGGAATGGTTAGTTTTAGACAAAAGTCAAAAATCCATTTGAAGGTAACCTTAACAGCATACAGTAGTGTAATCTTGTGACACCTACCTTTGGTTGGAGATTAGGGTGCAGCAAGACATAGCCGTTGGGATCAATGGCAAAGTAGTATCCATTTGGGCCAATCTGATGAAAGGAACGTAGCAAAGGGCATTGAATTAAATAAATCTCGGAGATGGGTGACTCGAATCATATGACTTGACTGTCATCCAACTTGAGTTGCCATTTGTAGGACTTGTGACTTGCTTTCCAAAAATGTGAGAAACGTTTTGACTTGGTATTCAAGAGATTGGACCTGACTTTGACTTCACCGACATGACTTGACGTCATCTTGTTTACAGTTGCGAATCTACATTTGAACACTGTTTGCGGTTTTAAGAAAGAAAGGAAGGAAAGATAGAAAGGACATTTTTCTTTCATTCACGCCAACCTGGATACGCAGTCAGTGTTGTTGCACACTTACTGGTGTGAAGTGGCTACATAAACGTCAACAAAAAAGGGAGCAGCTCCAAAAATCATTACATTTCAATTCACGGATTATCTTGTCAATGCTGTTTGCAAAAATAGGACAGCAAAACGCCCTTCGAAAACAGGTAAGCTCACGTCACAGTTTACGAACACGAAGACTGGTATGGAAGCAGTAAAACTGTACGAAAATGGAGTTTGACTCACTGTGAAACGTGGCGTGAGCTTCTTGATGTCATTCAACGACACGTCGATGCCCATCACGCCGAGAATGAGCTGATTCTGATGCTGAGAAATAGAAGTAAGGAAAATACATCAACTGGCCTCTACTGTTGGCACCTGTAAATCGGTAAACATATGTCAACTTCACTGCACCTCCCCATTCCTGTCGTCTTTGGTTTTGGTCTTATTGAAGACGGGAAGGGTCCCGGTAATGACCAGACCGAGTTCCTGAGTAAGGCACAAACACGACACGGATTATATTAGCCTACTATAAATTGACTTTTTAATGGCTTGTTTACAAATATTCTCGGGAGTACCTGCTCACCCATCACGTGGAAAATTAAACACCCTAGCTCTGCCCGCGGCCACTGTGCTAACTAAAATCGTACTTGGGGTTGGACCCGCAGTGGAGGGTGTGGGGTAAGGAGTGGCTCAATACTGAAAATTATGGATTGTAAATCAGTACTCGGCGGATATTTCGAGATTTACTCATGATTCCTCCACCAACAGGTGCAAATGTGATGGACTGTCTACATATCCACCATACTTACTGGATATGAAAATTCTCGGTACTCTTTCATACCCTCCATTGACCAATGTTACCTCAGTTTCAAGATTCCCACCATTGCTATCACTGTCCTTGGTTGAGCACACATTGGTAAATCTGATCATGTACATTCAGAATTTAGAGCACAGTAATAATGTCACACCAGTGCATCGAGGTACACGTTGGTCCACTGCACTTGTTTGGCCTGCTTGTCCGCAAGAACCATGGGTCTGCCCAGGACATCCAGGTACTCCTAAATCCGACAGAAAAACACAGAGTCATGTCTGGAAGTGGATGGTGATAATATATCAAGCATTCAGTAAAATGACCTGTGTGTTGATTCTTATGGCTCCAATGGAGGGGATCTCGTAGAAATACCCTGGAGTGGATCAAGAAAACGAGGAGATGAATAATATGATGCCATATTGCGGACAATGTGGATGTGGATGATGCTGCACCTTTGTTGGAACAGGCCATCCACTGAATGGGTCCCTTATCGTAGTTGTGCTGTCCCACGGAGAAGGTGAAGATCCTCACCTACAACATCATGATGTCCGTTATGACTCAAGCTTCCTTAGCATGGCTGTTTCCTCTTTTTACAAAGTCTAAAAGATGCAAGATCACATCCTGTATTAAGCAGAACGTGCCTCAGGCTCGACTTACTTTAAATAGTAAAGTGACCCCTAGAGTCAAACAATAAACACCTGAATATGACAAGCAATTACATGCTCTTATGTATGTTACCAACTTTTTTGTCAGCGTTGTATTTCTCCAGTATGGCCCGTGCTCGCTCTTCTCCTCCATCGGTAAACAGCATGATGATCTTATTACAATTTGCTCTGCTTATATTTGTCTGTTCACACACAAGAAAGATGAAGCTACTTAGATTTTGTTCTTTTTTCTTTTCTGTTTTTTTGGTTTTTTTTTTTGTCATTTCATACAACACAGTCGATGCAATTTGGAATGGTATGTCAGTTAATTGCAATGCTGAAACCAAATGAGGTGGCTTCACAAAAAGATACTGTTCTAGTAGAGGGAGAAGATGGATCCAGCAGATGGCAGCAAACATCAGGACAATATTACAGCTGTCAGCCTCTACTTCCCCTTCATAAGATAAGATAAGAAAACCTTTATTAGTCTCGTAATGGAGAAATTCCCAATGCCTCAATAACTAACGTAGCATTATCTATCCATGAATTGAAGCGCTTATCCTCACATTACATCAAAAAATGAATAAAAATGAATGTGCAAATGTCATTGATGAGGCTAATGTTATGAAATACATTAAAAAGGAAAAGAAAGTGTTTCATGCAAGATATACCCCAAAATATACATTCTACCATTCATTATTTTTGTAAAATAAACAAAAATAAAATTTAAAAATGATGTCTAATTAATTATAGTACTGTAATTGTGATTAATTCATCAAAAAATATTTCATAATTGGGGAAAGCAAAATGACAACATGCACCAAAGCGATCCATAATAAGTCATTATATAAAATATATCATACTATAAATTGATTGTATTTGTTAAAACAAACTATTAGGAGTAAATAAGGAGTAAGTGTTTTACACGTGTATACAAAGCAGTAACTACTGGTAATTTTATTTGACATTCATATAAAATTAAATTAGAGTAAATATGATTAACTACGATTAAATGTTTCCTGCAATATACACTAAAGCAAAATCCACCCGTTTGTAATCCATCTCAGAGATGAACATTTGGCCTCTTGCTGTTGACTGAAAATTACATCATACTTGCTCTAGGCTCAGGTAACGACCAATCACGGGTCAGCTAGCGAACGTCACATGATGAAACTCAGATAACAGGTAAGAAAAGCTATACAATTAAAAATACAATTCAATACACTGAAATTTATTTGATAAGTAGATTATGCAAACTATAACAATGCAATGGATAAATACGATGTATCAATTGTGATTTTTTTTCTCTCATCCCTGAAGAAAAAAAAATACAAAACAAATATTCAAATGACGAAAATTAAAATATTGAAAGTAGGTCAAACATTACCGCAGCGAGCTGCTCAAATGCAAATTCGAATCCCTTGGTATAGTTGGTGATGCCCTTGGCCGTGATGTTCTGCACAGCATCCTTCAGCAGCTTCTTGTTCCTCACGTTGGCTTGAACCAGATGGTCAAAGCACGCCGTCTTCTTCACCATAGTGTTGAACTGGGAAACAAAAGCCAGGGCTTAATAAATGACACTGCGCAGACCCCAAAGACGCGCTGCCGTAATTAGAGTGAAACGCTTGGTCCTATGTGCTAGTTTGGCTCGCCGCAATTTAGAATAAATTATCACATGTGTAACATATGTGGAAATGAAATACAGTGCGGCATGCACACACACGCACACTAACATGCACACATGAACACACGCCTCACTCCCACCTGGCCTTGGTTGTTAGGAACCAGTGGAAAAACAGACAGATTCATCAAGCCCCACTAATTGCTTCACATCCTTGGAGCGCCACGACTCGGTACCCATGGCAACAAGATTGGAGCTACAGTGTATTAGAACAAGGTTATGCAGCAACACCGTAGTGTTTTTGTTTTGTTTTGGGGGGAATAAAATGATGAGGATGCCTAATTTTCATACACACAGCTCAAGGTCCTTGACACAACTCACTCGTACATAGAGTCCCACGGGGAACAGCGAGCCGTCGCTTGGTAGTCGGCAAAACAATGTGCAATAACTTATGTGGTATCTTTTATTTTCATTCACACCATGATGTGTTGAACAGTGTGCATATGTTGTGCATAAAATGTCTTTTTGCAAAAAAAGCCTATTTTCTGATTTATTTTGTCCATAATAGGTGATTTGGGTAAAACCAACTAATGTTTTACTGCTGATTACTAAAAAATGGAATCAGGCAGAAGCTTTTTTTTGTGATTAAAAAGAAGATAGTTGAATCATTTATTCTGCAGTTAACAAAGACATAAAATCCTATTCTCTGTGTGTTTGTAATAAAATTCTTCCCTGAACCCAAAAACCTTATGAACCTTGTTAAACATTGTTGTACTCCGACACCTTCAACTATGCCATGCAGCAATAATGCAAAACAGAGCATCTATTGTGTTCAAATTGTCAGACCTCCTCTCAACTCATCAGGGTTTTTGTGTGAGTCTGCAAACATTGATCAACAAGCTGGGAGGCAACATGATGTCTGACCCATATGTGTGTACGTGCGTGTGTAGGCGTGTGGCCAATGGCCGGCCGGCACTGAAGCGGCTTCTCCTTTGACAATAACAGACAAACACATCTCTATTTGACTGAAAGGCCATGATCACAATGTCTGCAAACACACACACACACACACACACACACACACACACACACACACACACACCAAATCAAGAAGACAGCAAGCAAATATATCTTCGGAAACACAACAGAGGTGTGCATAATGGGGCGTGTTGTCACATAATCTATTAAAAGGAGGAAAGGGGGGGGTGTGAGTAGGGAATATGAGAAACTTCGGAAGGTGTGTCATATAAATGAGTTCATGTCATGAGATATGTCATGTTTACACAGATGGTGATTATGCAGTCAGGGGTGCAGCGAAGGGCGGTGTGTTTCCTTTTTCATGCAAAAGCAGTTGTCAGACACGACATCAGTGGCCTCGCAAATGTCAAAACAACCTGTTCGAAAAGACGACATGCCAAGGTATTGGACTTAAAAGTTAAATTAGTAAAACAATGCATCGTTCTGGATTGAAAGAAATGCTTACACCATGCACAATTGAATTCAGCGATACTTTGTGTACCAGTTGAGGGAGCTTGCGGACCACACTTTGACAACCACCGCATTAATGGTTGTAACTAAAACTTTGTGTTGTTTTTGGCCAATGCAAATGTATTTCTGTGACCAAACCCTTCTCGTTGATTTCTACCTTGCCACTCTTTTTTGTCATTTAGAATTTTTCAACCATTCCTCAGATCAGAACTCCATTTCTCAAAATTACTCGTCCAACTTTCACATCAGTGTCACTTGTGGGCAGCAAGTATAAAAGTGATGGAGGCCGTCATATTAACCCTGTCATGCACACTGTAACCTGATAACATGATTAGCTGTCCACTGTAGTAACCGCTGTCCCTGAAAGGGTTAAAAAGTAGGTCAGATGGTTTGTACATTTTGGTGAGCACCATAAGTGCAAAATGGAGTTCGTCATAGGTGATATGGCACGACTCCTTCTTGTGACTGACTCGAAGTCAGCCCTTAGATCATTAATTTCTCAAACAAAATATGTCACACAATTGTTTCTGGCATTTCAAAAATATTTATGGAACTGAAAAGATCTCTCCGCACACTGAATAAATGTATTTTCATTTACTCCTCCCGGAATGCACACAATTTCTTTGTTTTGCCCCCTGCTCAGTAGATTCGCTTTCACATGTGTTTGCGTGAGTACGTTGGTGGCCATTTTCGGATGGGCAGACCTGAAGCAAATCAGGCTTCAAGTGAGCAAAGAGGATTAAAAGAGGGAGAAAAAAGAAAAAACATGAAAGAAAAAAAATGAGCATAAGAATGGGAAGGAGTACCCAACAGGCGTTCCTCTGACCTACAACAGCTGTCCAGGGAGTGTATACGTGTGTGTGTGTGTGTGTGTGTGTGTGTGTGTGTGTGTGTGTGTGTGTGTGTGTGTGTGTGTGCGCGTGTGTGCGTGTGTGTCTTCCTTGACCAAATGCCAACTTGGTCCCTTGGCTGCTGTTAATGAGGAAGGATTCATTGCTAACATCAGAGATTAATGATGGCATGTCATGCCCCGACACCTGCAGGTGGCATGCACCAGTGTTAGAGGTTTTTGAGCAGGTCCGCGGATGAAAAGACAGACGTACTGAGAGTGTGACACTGAGACAGAAATAATGACTTCTGATGAGTGTGACCTCAGTTAATTTGCTGTTTTCTAATTGATGTTTCAAGGGGGGCGGGGCTAAGGGAATGATGAGGATGGTGATTGCCTATCCCTTCAACTACTCACTTGACCAATCAGTAAAGCACAATAGGAAAGCAAATACAGTCAAATTATCTTTCCCCATTGAAATTCATGAAAATGTCACAGATCCATTCCAGCCCGATCAAAAAAATAGCACCTGACGACCTTGTACTTCATAAAAACAAAAACATGATAATATAATTAAAAAGAATGCATGGAAACCGTCTGTGCATCAATACTGGAAATAAAATACTCTTAAAAAAATCTTGAACTGTTTAACACCACAGTGCTGCAAAACTATTGCTTTGTCCTCTGCCTCTGGTGTGCTCTGTTACCTTTGGTCAGTTGCTCAAACTCTGTATGGCTTATTAGTTTCAATGGAATTTAATTTAAATATTGAGACACGCGAACTCCTTGACAGCGTCGCCTACGAAACCAGGGACCAATTGATTTTCACTCCAAGTTTTGGCCAAATGGTGACCATCCCATCAAACTTATGGTTGAAATACACCCTAAAGCCAATATCTTAAAACCATGAACCTGTAACCGTTTTTTTAAGCATACATGTCTCTTCTTCATTTGCTTGTATCTGTCCCATTCTTAAAAACACAAAGGATGACAGGGCGCTAAAGATCTTCACAGAATCAACGTCCACTAAGAAGCATGACGCATTGTTTTCAGAAAAACAAAGCTCCAAATCTGCAGACTTTGTTGCAACAAACACCTCATAGTTGGCAGCACACCAGTATGGATACACCGCTCGCCTGATTGGCTCTTTGGACGCTTAATCGTAAGTCTGGAAGGTTTCGAGAAATGAAAGTGCGGCGAGTCGTGGGAATGATTGGTCGATAACAAAACAAGAAGTGACGGGAGAGAATGCCGAAAAATGTAAAAGGGAAAGTTGCAGTATTGTACATGGGAAAGTTGCACACATGCCTTGGTCACTGGCGCAAAGAGATGAATGGGGACAAGTAATAGAGATGACGAATGAACTACTCCGTGTTGAGGTTTAATTATTGTAGTAGAACGCGAGGGTGGCAAGAAAACTTGGTTACATGTCACAATACTTTTGTGCATGCGGTATATAAAAAGAAGGGGCGGCCAAGAGAGTGCAAAATTTCATCCAGTGCACCAAAATGGAGCAGCAGGCATTTCATTAAAGGCTTGCTTGAAGGTGGCCAGACGTGGTAGAAATCCATACTTCATTACATGTCATCCATCTCTGGGAACCGCTTGCTTCCAGACCCTTTTGCACTAATTAAAACATAATCTCAGATTAAATTTTAGACAAACATTCATTGCATTGCAGTCCAAAAGGGGGGAGGGAATAAAAACAGAAAAGTGCGTGTGCATGTGTGTGTGTGTGTGTGTGTGTGAGAGAGACAAAGCAATCGTGGAGTAGATGTGTAGTGTCTTTGCTTGTGTGTGTAACCCTAAAGTACCCTGAAGAAAAAGGTCTGTATCCCAAAAAATATTCTAAAAGTATGACATATAATAAATGTGTTCCTCTTGAAATGAGTCCTACCAAAACGAACTACTGAAGGTAAATTGGTTATAATTTCAGTCGTAATGCTTCTTTGCTGAAAGCAGTAAGCAACGTGTCATTTTACTGCATGCAAATAACGAAATATTGAGATACCTGAGGATCAAATAATAAATTACAATTTGAAACGTAGTAAGACCCGTGAGAAATGTCAATGTCCCAAAAGCTGCTTTAAAAATATATCATGCATTCAAATTATTTCCCACTTTAAGTGAGTTAAGTTTTTAAAAGTATTTCAGACACAAATATCCCGATCAAATTGTTGCTGTCCTGTGAAAAAGACATAGGCTCATTTTTATCATTTTTAAAAATGTTTGTGAAATGTTGATTCCGAAACGCAAGTCTTTACGTGATTTATTTTTATGATAAAACATTTTAAAAATGGACATTTGCTTTTCACTGAAAAATTACAAATGAAAAAAAATATTTTTCAGCAAATATTTCTTGTCACTAGAAAATTAGAATTTTGTTCTGTGTAGCTTTGCCATTTTAGGTTAATTTCATGAACAGAGAGGAAACTGCTTTCAAAATGGAATATACTCTGGTAAAATACACCTTTCGTCATTCAACACAGCCAAACTGGTTCAAAAATAAAGTGAAGAGTAAAAAATGTCCCCATGAATACCGAATCGTAGAATATCAGAACTCACATAAACCACGTTGACGTAATCGTCATCCGACAGCGTCTCCAGCATCTCGCTGACGGATGTCCGGATCAGTTTGAGCGTCAGGCCGGAAACGCTGCCACTCCTGCCAAAACGAGACGAAAACATCAGTCTGCTGCACTTGTGTTTGTCAGTTAAGACCAATGGTAGACCCGAACAGATCTCAAGGGGCATATAAATGTCGAGAATGTAATATGATCATCGTAAGTCATACGGGGACAGATCAATGACGTTAGCGTAACTCACGCGTCCACCAGGATGAGCATGTCTTTGGGGGAGGCGGCTCCTTGAATGTACCTGCACACACACTTAACCAGTCAGCACAATTGTAGCTTGATTTACGAGATTAATTAATTCCGTACCATGTCCATTACTCAAACAACACATATCTCAAAAATCCCTCATGACTTTAATAGACATGTCATTAACCACTCCCACTTCCAACATTTTGTGAAGCATGTTTTTTTAATAACCATTTTTCCTTCTTTGCAACACATTGTTCGACTTCCACTGAACGTCTTCAGTGTTTTTCTGCCTTTTTAACCAGACTTTCCACCCATTCAGCAGCTTGTCCATCTTTTCATGGATAGAGCTCCACAGTTTAGAAATTATAAATTATTCATACCCCGACTGGCGTTATAGCCTTTCTTTGGCCATGACTACTAATGTATATTATCAGATAATAATTTGGGAAAAAAAATAGGATTTGTTTTCTGTAACACTGTTTGTACAATATTTTGAATTTCTATAATCCATTGCTCTTGTTCTCTCAATATACATTTAAATGTGATTGTATTAGTTTAAAGGTGTGTTTAAAGACAAAAATAATTGAGTGTCATAATTTTTTTAAAACATGCCGAGGAAGTATTTCAATTTCTCTCATTTCACTTATTGCAGGGGTGGTCTGGAACTGGCGATGGCTGTGGAAGCATCTTTATAAGTGGTCTAAGCAGTTAGACTGTGGAGATGGATTCAATGAGTGTATTATAGTATGTGACTCTTGGCGGCACGGTGGTAGTGTGATCTCTTACCAGGGTCTCCTGCGTACGTCATACAGGTCAATTTTACTGGGTGTCTTGCGAGCATCCATCCAGGGAGACGCTGCAGGACATAAAAATTGTGTCGATTACACCTGTCTCACACAGCGAGGAGAAAAACCCACTAATTGCTTATTTTATTGATCACACGCCCTTCATGTCAGGCTGTGTGACATACTTCATGGTGACAATAAAATTGTGGATTTCTGGGTTCCATCTTACATATCATTAATTTGTTTAGCCCAGAGTATAATTTATGACAAGATGTGCAGACTTAATTTAATTGCTTTGACAATCACCAATTTGGCATGAGTGTGGGGGAGCATGAAAAATGAGCACGCATGAGAGAGTGAACCCACTCTTCATGCATGCTAAGTAGTTTTTGAAAACACAGTGAAATAAAATAGTCAAAGCCAGTGTTCATCCCGGAATATTGCACATCAACCTCTCCAGTGAGGCCACACAGACGATGCCATGAATAGAAAACACTATGAAGCTTAAGCACGGATGATTGGTTCGTATAGGACAGAGCTGAACGGGATTCTATGTTGAGCCTTTGTGAGCGTTGATATGAGCATATTGCAAACATGGTGACTGTTGAGTCAAGGTCATTTGAGTAAAAAAAAAAAAAAGCACTCCAAATGCACCCAGGTTGATTTTGTGTATCGTAGTCTCAAGCAGAGAAAACTGTGGAATTGAGCAGGATAATAAATGCCACGTAGAGACAAAAAATATTGTGCCATATGGCCATTTCACTGAGAGATGATGAAAATGTAATATGGAAAATAGAATGGAGGAGGAGCTTAAAAGGCGGATCGGTGCAGCGCCCGCGGTGATGTGAACTCTGCATTGGTTTGTCGCGGTGAAGAAGGAGCCGGTGAAGTTCTCAATTTAGCGGTCGATCTACATTTGAACCCTCACCTTTAGTCATGACCTGTTGGTCACGACCGCAAGAACAAGAACGATCGCAGGTACAAGCGGCCGATCAGTGTGAAGGAAGAGGATCAGACTAGAGCCACTTCTTATCGAGAGGAGCCAGATGAGGTGGCTGGGGCATCTGGTTAGGATCCTGAAAGTTTCTCGAGGTGGTCTTTAGGGTGGGGATTTGGGGGGAGAATCAAGACTCGCTGAAGAGGCAACGGGCTCTATTTTTGTAGACAGTACATCTGCACCATGGTGGAAAGGCGGGTGGATCCTATTTTTTGTAACAATGCAAGGCTCACTGTCCATATCTTTTAGCAGACCAGCCTCTACCAAAATGCGTGAGCTAGTGCAGCAAAAGAAGGGTGTTGGCGATACGCCTGGGAGAATGACAATTGGGTGGCAGGAAGTCGATCTAAAGCTGTTGCCTTGCCTATCGTTCCTGAGAGTGCAATTTGCGCTCCGCATTTATTGATTGATTCATTTATTCTTAGTTTATTTGTTTAACCAAATAAGGAAAATGAGAGCAGGTTGTCATTTACAATGGTGACCTGGAAGCAATTTAGTTGCAGTGTCTTGTAGAACCGCCCGCAGAAGAGCTGGCCGAAGTGGTTGGGGAGAGGGAAGTCTGGGCTTCTCTGATTAGGTTGCTGCCTCCATGACTTGACCCCAGATAAGCTGACAAAATGGATGGCTAGCATATGGAGCAACTCTGTACTGATCAACCTGACCAGTTTGTTTTCTACCTTCCCAGCTTGCTCACTCTGTTTACCTACCAAATTTTCCCTCTCTCCCTACCTGCCTCTATCAATACATATGGCTTTGCATGGAAAAACTTCTCTGTACTTTCTTTTTGCCTACCTGGGTAGTAGCGGGCCAGACCTGTAGCGCTTCCAAACACCTGCCAAAGAAGGGTGGGATCGTCCTCTCTGTTTTTCTTAAACACGTCCTCCAGAGCCTCGGTCCAGTTCAGCTCGTTCAGCACAATGGTTGCTAAAAACAAAAGAAAGATTGTGATGGATCTTTTCAAAATGTTTGTGAACACCAGGGACTAGGGTATTTCCTTGTGACTACTGTTGACTTGAACTGAAAAGAATGACTCCACTAAATACCATATTGGCCCGAATATAAGACGGCCTGATTATAAGACGACCCCCTCTTTTTCAAGACTCAAGTTTGAAAAAATACTTTTTGAACACCAAATTAATTTTTATACAGAAAATAATTACAGTACAGTACATCAGAAACAAATGATAATAACAATATATTTGAGAGAAAAAGCATGTGATTTTGCCTCATTCAAATCCAAAGTGCAATCACAATCGTAAATGAATGGCTTCTGGTTTTTGAAATGGAAATTACATCATAACTTCTTGTCAGCTGCCGGTTAACCTGGCCGATCTTCGACCCACTTTTCTCCAGATTGTCGCTACGTTTCTCCATTTTCTGTTATCTCTTCTATTATTTTCTTCTCTGTTCCTTCTTACCGCTATTTTTTATTTTTCTTCTTCGTGCTACCGCTATTTTTATTTTTATTTTTTGTGGCAGGGGGTCACTTTGGCCTGGGGAGTCAAGTTCAGCATTGGCTTCAATGATATCTGGCGCCATCTAGCGTCGTGAATAGGTACAATGTCTAGACCCCGAATATAAGACGACCCCCACCTTTTCAGTCTTATTTCAATGCATAAAACACCGTCTTATATTCGGGCCAATACGGTACAGAGGATTGCGGGTGAGGACAATAACTTGAGTGGATGTCATGAAAAGTTGTCCAGAGAAGATCGCAAAACCGCCTAGAAGGACAGGCTGGGAGAGCTAGCGTCACAACCGTATGTCAGTGCCATCAAAACTTTTCAAAGATGATATTCGACGATCACATCATTGAAGTCATTTACCCTGTTTTCTAAATTGGTCTGCTTCGGGTCAAATGGCATTTAAGGAGTTTACTTTTCTATGAGTGAAGCAGTCGAAGAATAATTGAGCTTTTACAACCCACAAGTATGTTTGACGTCATGGTGAAAATGTCTAGAAAGAGACAAAGATAAACACCTTAATACACATCATTGTAATTGCCCAGGTTCTGTGAAGTGAACACAAACTCATGTGGATATTTTTGATAAACACATTTGTATTCCCACATGAACACGAGCTCGTTCATTTCTACCTCGAAATAACGCGTTTGTGTGTGTGTTTGTGTGTGTGTGTGTGTGTGTGTGTGTGTGTGTGTGTGTGTGTGTGTGTGTGTGTGATAGCAGCTGATTGATGGTGTGTGTTGTGGGAGGCAACAGGCATTATGGATGCAGTGACACAGCACTTGGACAGCCTAGAGCCACGTAACACAATGATGGATGAAGGGGGGACGCAACACTGGGCGCCCCCAAACTGGTTCAGCCTCTCACGACACTCTTTTTTTTCCCCCTCTCCTCAATTCGCTCTCATTTTTAGTCTCCTTCCCTCCACTGAGGATATTATTTGCACACTTGTCTCATTTATCTGACAGTATTGATTATGTTAAACATTGCGTTGTTCAAGTTACACCCGACACAAGTTTAGGTATGCCTTTCGAGGTCTCATACAAGAGCTGTATCAAACCCTCTGCTTCCATAAAGATAATAATATTCAGTTTTGCCGAGTTTCAACTTTAAACTCGGTGGAAATGTCACTACTAATGTGACAATATGTCAGTACAGTATAGGCATAGGTGGCAAGCAAAAACCCTACCGCAGTTTTGCCTTCAGCCACAGGTGCCTCTACTCATCCGGCAGTTCCACGAGCTCCCGGGATGCAGAAACAACTGTGTCTAAAGTAAAATTGGCTTGGGCTTGACTTTCTGGACCTGATTTTGCCACCTGTGAGCAAACATAATCATCAGGATTCAGAATTACCAAAATAATTTTTAAAAAGTTTCTTTGATTGGTTCATTTGTGTGATGTATGTTATAAACATGTCATGCAAAAACAGGGTTTTTTTCTCTTTGTCCTCAAATTACACATATAAAGGAAATAAATGGATAACGCAATATCAGTAAATTGAAATGCAGTTTTGGCACAAACAACATACTTTTTAGAGTAAAATGTTTTTTTTTTCTTCTCAGTTTTCAATTTGTACAAAGTGTACAAGAGTGAAATAGATGGATAATCATTGTATCGATTGTGACGTGGCTCGTTGATGTGCAAACACTTCCATTTGCATGCATGCCTCTCGAGACAGCAGTTAATGAAGCCTCGCTTTGCCAAGAGTGGCAATTTTATTGTTTTTAAATTGAAACATACGTGTGTGTGTGTGTGTGTGTGTGTGTGTGTGTGTGTGTGTGTGTGTGTGTGCGCGCGTGAGCATGTGAGTGTGCACATTATGCATTTACCTCATTAAGTGCAGAATTCTAAATGGGGTGAGATAAAATAGCACTATAGCCAGCGGTGCATAATGAGAAAAGTTCAAATTGCGCGAGGCTACGACTAACAATGGAGCTATAGAATAAAATAGCTTTGCGTGTCGTCAGGATAATACATTGCAGTGCGTTTATTCTGCATTGAACCCAGAGATTAAGTCATAGCATAAGTGACAATAATATAAATAGGATGACTAAACGACTGCACACTTTAACCGGAATATTAATCGCTGGCGTCTATGACACAATCTGGTAAATTTCACATTTTTTCACAAAGCTATACTACGGGTCAGTCCACAACTGTGGGTGTTATTTATTTATTTTTTTTACAAATTATTGACCAATCGAACATGTTGAAAATGGCTTGATCTCTTTGATGTTGCAATGTTAATGGTTGAACAAACATGCCATTTTTGGGGATCGCCTGAAAAGTGAGGATTTCGCCCGTTGTTAGCTCTATGGTTCATAACTCTGTGACCATGACACCCAAATATTTCTCTGTGTGTATGTATAAAAACAAATCAGCTTCCAAATTGCTTCTTTTGGGGATCACATTTTTGGTCCCCACACTACAAATGCTGATTGTCTTAAAAGATATTTGATATGTGGCCCATTGTGAGGAAAAATGACCTTTTAGCGTGGCTCCTGCAATCATATTTCAGTCTTTTGCCCGATTCATGGTTACCAAGGACTCCAAGTGAATTTCTCTGCCCATTGTTATGGAAAACAGGTATGAATGCAGTGTGCCATAATTAAAAAACATCCGGCTTTATAAGGGGGTCTCCCGATTTGTGGTCACCGCACAACCAAAGGTCCCCAAGATTTTTTCATATGGGAAAATAACCAACGTTTAGAATTTAGAATGGCTTCTGCTATTATATTTGGTTGTATTTATTATAGGAAGCTGATTTATGGTCCCCAAGGCCCGAGAGGTCCCCGAAATATGAAAAAGTAAAAAAAAAAAAAAATCATAATAATCCCCATAAAATCATAGCTAGCCGACACACACTGGCAGCAAACCTGTGTGGACAGTATGTGCCATTGCAAAAATAAATAACTGAATACATTAAATTAGAAATCTGCTTCAAAATAACTACTACATTCATGTTATGGGGTTCCCAATTTTGTGGTCCCCACACCACAAGAGGTCCTCAAGACGTGCCTTGTATCATATGGGACATTGTGGAAAAAACAACAACCTTCAGAACCGCTCTTTTTATCATATTTTGGGTATACTGTATCATTTTATGTGGAACTGATTTATGGTCCCCACACTCCTCCAATTCATATAATGGGCTTGAAAATTATCCAACATTTTGTTATGAGAGCAAAGTCAATTTCCTTCTATTGAGAAATGTTAAAAATAAATAAATCCTACTGGAGATTTATCGCATCTAGTGTTGAATACAAAACAATTATGCTTCACTCCACACTCCCTCCTTTTCCCTCAATTTGCCAAATAGATAGGATATTTTGACATGTCCGTCATCTGCTGTATTTCCAGTCTTACGGCCGGCAGGCCAGTGCCCACAGGGGGTGGGTAGGTTGATGGGGAAGCTGAAGGGTGATTTCATGACTCCGCCTCCCATTTTACCCAGAAAATCCAATTTCACCCCCTGACTGAGTAAAGGCTATTCCTGGAACATTTATGGGGTGGAGATCAAATTGGGCCAATTGAAGCCTCAACAGTGTACAAATGTCTTCTTTTCCCCTTCCCTCTGAAAAATATGTTCTGCGGTGAAGCTGGCTGTTGGCTGTAAAAAAAAATATGTGAAGTCTGTGGCTGTCTCGCATGCAGACTGATGCGTGTCTCCAATCTGTCTTCATCGCGAGTGATAAACGCCACATCTTGAGCATTGCTTGAGGTCAGCTTAAGGCAGAATCTATCTCCAAGCAAATTGAGTTTTACACACATGGAAATACCGTGTGGGTTTTCTCCAGTGTCTCCGGTTTCCTCCCACATTACAAAAACATGCACGGTAGGTTGATTGAACGCTCGAAATTGTCCCTATGTGTGATTGTGAGCATGAATGCTTGCTTGTCTACGTGTGCCTTGCGATTGGCTGGCGACCAGTTCAGGGTGTACCCTGCCTGCTGCCTGAAGACAGCTGGGATAGGTTCCAGCATGCCTGCAACCATTGTGAAGACAAATGGAGATAAGCGGCTCAGATTATAGACGCATCGACATCAGATTGTGTCGATCACTTTTATATTTTCACAGAATGTGACAAAACATGCCAGGAAACAAGATTACAATGCTTGCTTCCTTCTGTTAATGATGTTGACAGGCTGAGATTTAAAAAAATCAACAAAAACAAACAGGCCACACCCATAAAATATGGGCATCATTAAGGTACGTGGAACAGAGTCATAAAAAACACATTAAATCACTGCTGAGGTTTTCAGGGGGCTGAATTTTAGTGCTGAGATCATTTTTACAGAGACCTATTATTCAAAGGCAGATGTTTCACCCCATCAAGTGTCCCTATCAGGGTGGGAAATGAAAATTGTTTTAAGTTAATGTGGTTCCAATTAGGAGTGTGAAATAACTGGTTATGTTTGCATTTATATTTAAAAGAAAAAAATGTCTCTGTTACTTTTACTGGTATTTGTTCAGCAAATAAGTGTCATTTTCCTTTGATTTATTCACAAATGCGGTTGAGAGTTTTGTTACAATAAAAAATATGAATCTGTTTTCCAAAAATCGCATTTTTTATTGTTTTCTAGTCCATCCGAGTTGTCTGCGACAGCCAAGAAGCGTTGAGAACCGACTCAGCAGTACTACATCACGCGCAGGTGCCGCACATCTGACACACAGCCAAATACAGAAAAAAATTATTACCAAAAAAAAACAGAGCTGTATATCTTTCATTCCCACAGACCTCAATGACATGTGTCCCATATCTTTTTTATTTCACCAATCACCACGCTGTGTGTGTGTGTGTGTGTGTGTGTGTGTGTGTGTGTGTGTGTGTGTGTGTGTTGTTTTTGTTTACATTTTTTTTCATTATTTGGCCGCGTTTCGGCTTGTGCGGCACCTGGGTGTGACGTGGAAATTATGTTCTCTATGCCGAGTGCCTCTCGCCGACGAGGGACGGACTGAGTCCACGTGGTTGGCCTGA